CCCATGAGTTTGCTGCTGGGTGGTTTTTTCTGACATTAAATTGGAATCTGCCTTCCAGTCTGTGTTCTTGGTTCTGCATGTCTTGCATTCAGGAGTGAGGGGGAACAGGTTGACGAGAGATGATTATAGCCCCCGCTTCAAGGGGGCCTGAGAGAGTCTTGCCTGGAATCGGGAGAGCTGTGGCCGGTCAGGGGTGCTGGTGCCGGCGGATCTGGCACTCTCAAACTCCGCTTCCCTTGCGTCCCCATATCCTGCCAAGGGCCCATTTGGGAGAGTTTTCAGCCCGCTAAGGTAGAATGTGTGTGCTCTTGGCCAATCCAAGCAGAAAAGGATACCCAGAACGCTTTGTGTATTACGTGCAAAAGCTTCCTAAACCTTAGCAGGGGAAAAGCTGACCTCTCCCCACCGAGCGATGCCACGGCCTCCGCCCTCCTGTGTCCAGCAGACGTGCCGCGGGATTCGGGCTGCTCGGCCTGGGAAAGGCGAGGGAGCAGGAGCAGGAGCAGGCGGGCTCCGCCTCGCTCGCGTCCATTACTCTTTTTGATTGACACTTTAATGAGGGTACAAGGGGTCGCCCCCCTGCTGGGGGGCTGGTTCATGCCCCGTTTATCTCACAGTCTCTGTTAGCCAAAAATAGCCGCCGGGCTCCGTTTCACCGGCCCGTGACCCACCATGATGGATTGAGTGGCGGAGGGGAGTTGGCAGCTGAAGTGTGTAGCAACAGTTTCTCCCTGTCAGCACAACACAATGGATTTGCTGATCCCTGGGTTTTCCCGGCCACCCCCGTTTGGGAGTCCCCGGCATCTTTTTGCTTTTCCACCAGGAGGTAGAGAGAGAGAGGGCTAGGGAGGAAAAAACAAAAAATGAGGCTGGGATCATCTCGCCAGCCCTCTTGAGAGGGCAGGTGGGCAAGGAGTAAAATCTCCCCTTTTCTCTCTGAAAAACCTGCATGGAGTGGATCCACTCAGGTGTCTGCAGCTTTAGAGCACGTAATTCAGCCAGGCTTTGTTTACACAACCACACTAAACCGACACGTGATTGGTTTGATTTCATTGTGGCTTAGCAATTTATGGAAATCTCAAGCACAGGATTTCATGGCTTCGTGTGTTGTGTGAACCCCCCAAGCAGAATTCATTCAATAAACCCTGTTCAACATCCAAAGCCTTCTACCCTGTTAAGGGAAGCCAGTCTGGATCTTCCACCAGACATTTCTTTCAATCTAAGTGCTCCTTCATAATCAAATCTGGGTGATCAGCACAGTGACCTGTTACGAAGAGGCAGGCATAGTTGGGTTGAATTGGTGGTGGTTTGCTTAGCACCAAAGAATCTGGCCTGGCCAAAATTGATGGCAGTTGAGCAGCATCTGGATGACTACAGCTGGCCCACCCTGGCTCAGATTCCTCTTCTGCTTGGGGAGACCTCTCCAGAAAGGGGAGCTTTTGTAGAAGAGAGGAATGGTGTTAAAAGGAAGAGTTCCCAGAACTTTGGAGACAGGAGCCCCCTGGTTGCAAATAAAGTTGTGCAGACGTTGTGGGTTTCCCTGAAATTTTATCTGGCCGTTGACAGGCATGGTATCGGAGCAGCCGCCAACCTGCTCCACGAGGGCTCCTCTTGAAACAGCTGCGGAGTCAGCACAAGCAGCCTCCCCCAGTGGAAAAAGTGGTCTTGGACAAGCTGCACGTTCCTCCTTCCCGTGTCTCCAGATCTTCTCCTTCTGCTCCTTGCTTTGATTTCAGTCCCTCCTGCTGAGCGCGGGGGCCCAGTGGCTCTTAAGGGCTCCCCACCTGTATCTAACCCCGCGGAGGAGCAGGTTAGCCCGCCTGGGTGAAAAGTTCACCTACCAGCCAGGCCGTCTGTCCCTCCGGCTTAATTTATCTGCTATTTGGCTAACCCTGCTCTGAACTCCAGGCTCCCTGCCGGAGGAGCTCACATTGGCCAGAGGCCTCCGCCAAGCCCTGGCTGGTCTTTCTGCTCACCCTCTGACTTGTGCGGGAAGGGCAGGCCACCGAGGAGCACGATGCAGCCACTGCAGAGCAGCCACTTCCGTGGGCTGGGAGCCATGGGGAGAGCAGCGTGACCCAGCCACTCGGCACAGGGGGGCTTGTGGGGGCCATTTAGTGGGAACCGGGAAAGGAAAGGACGTTTCGATTCCCGGGCAGTTCCTCCCACAAGCCTTTTCCAGAGCCGGCCTGGGGGCTAGCAGAGGGGTCCAGCCAGGATGGAAAGATGCCGCAGGAGCCGCCCCCAACCGTCAGATGAAAGCCCTGCCTGAAAACATCAGAAGGCTTCCAAGCATCCTGAGAACAAGGCTGAAAAACAGAAGCCTCTTTCACAAAGGAATCGAGAAATCCCAGAGCAGGTTTTGGCCCAGCACTAAAAGTTACTAGTACTTCAAGGGAAATGCCACAGAGTCCCTCTTTCACTCTAAGCTGTGGTAGGTTACATCATCACGCTCTGCATTCCTCCATTGCATTAAGGCGTATGTCATACCTGACCAAATGGAGCGGCCAGCCCCGTCAAAAAGAGCAACTCCAGCCAATGAGGAGAGGTATTGTGACCGAGCAAACTGCATCTGCTCAAGCTATCCAGGGTCAGCCGTGAGGGCTGAAGCCAGCCAGGCGGGAAGTCGAAAGTCTGAGCCGGGAACGGAACGCAGAACTGCAATGCTTCAACGTCCACAGCTAAGAAATGGGCGGCAGGAAGTCTGCTAGCACATAAAGGTGGGAGGAGGAGATGCATGGCTGGTGCTGGACCTGGCATGGAAATGCAGCTAGATTGCCCGATCCTACCGTACTGCTCTTCATTATGAAATGGCTCTAAGCCTCAGCATCCAAACCTGCAAAATGGGGAAAATTTATGACCAAATTTTGCAGAGGCTGAACAGATGTTGTGACCTTATTTGCACCTTTGCATTTTATAGGCTGCATGTTTACTGCATCTTTGATGTTGATCTTGGGGGAGCTAGCATATGGCACACATGATGATAGTTCGAAAGAATCTCGGAGCTGTTGCTTTGCTTGAAATGCCAAGACTGTAAAACTTAACAGCTGCCTGACAAGGAGCCCAACTGGAGATTTACAGATTCTTGGACTATTCTTGGCAATCTAAGCTTCACCTTTGGAGAAGCCTGTAGCTTGGCAACTGCGGTTTGAGAGAAAGGGGGGGAGGCAAAAGGCTACGTGTACCTGAACATCGCCAAGCCTCAAATCTCAGCAGCTAAGTTTTTTCATACCCCCTTTCTGCTTGCTTCCTCCCCTCGATTTCTGTGTCTCTTCTTCCTTTCCCTTTGTTGTCTTTCTTCACTCCTTCTGGCAGTGATCCTCAGCAGAACAACAAAGGCCTTACAACAGAGCCCCTCCTTTCATCTCTGAAAGTCGGGCCAATTCAGGATCCCTGAAGCACCCTAGCAGAATAAACTAAGAGGAGGGACTTGTCATTGTGTCCTGCCTACTACAAAACAGCCCCCTAGGATTCTCCAGCCAGAGAAGTCTCCACGAAGCCAGGATTTCCATCAGAACTGGCCACCAGCCGCTGGGAAGTCATGTATGGACTAGCCTTCTCTCTTTTCACCATCCACCCGCCTAATGCAAGTTTGCTAGACTTTCCAGTTTAGAAAGAAAACTTTCTGGTGGCACATTTGGGCATCCATTGGGATGTGTCCTGGGGGCTTAAGTTGCACAGGTGTGACCAGCAGTGTTGCACCAGTGTAAGCTAAGGAAGGGAGGAATCTTGATCCTTCTTAGAAGATGGGGGCACGCTTAGCTTGTCCTTAGTCTCCCTTTGAGTTACTTGGGGCTTACTCGGTGGCCTCTGAACAAGAACAGTGCAATTTGCACTAGACCAAGTGAATTGGGCAGAAAATGCCTTCTTCATTTCACTGGAGGGGGAAATGTTTGCTTTCCCCATTTTTTTCCCCAAAGGAGAAGGTATTTGTGAACTTCTTGCCTGTAGAGCCCTGGCATTTATCTTAATTATGAGGCAGCTGAGGAACATCTGTGTACAGTCCTATCCCTAGTGGTCCATGGGCTTCCTACCTTCTCCCACTTCCATGAAATCTCAAGAAAGTGTGTGTGTGTGTGTGTGTGTGTGTTGTGTGGCACATGGGGAAGTATCAGCTAAAGATGTCTAACCAGGGCTTAAAACAATTCTCCAAACGCATGCTACAGCATTTGGCAACAGAAGTTTCTTTCATTCAGGAAGAAAAGCTTTAAGGATGTGCAAAGGAGACATTAGCACAATATTATTCCCAAGTGGAACTTGCCATTGTTGGATTAAAAACTGGACCGTAGCCTCTACCTACTTCTTCCCCAACACGTTGCTTCTAGCATCACAATTTTCCCCAGGCAGCTCATCCCTCTGTTCTCCTTTAAAAATGATGACAAAAAGTAGTGGGTGGGGTAGAAGCCTGACAGAATTAAATGAAAATGAACAGAAATTCCTCCAAGAATGCACCAGGGTGTCTCTGCAGCATACCACGCTGGTAACACACCCATGGGTGTCTACTAGCTGGAAGACATAAACTTCAGCAGAGGATTTTGAGGCCTCAAGGAATGTGGTCACTTCCCTCCACCTTTCTTCCCGTCTCATAACACGACCCTGGCCCCACCACCCACCCAGGGCTGCAACGGAGCCTGGTGACGGAGGACTGCAGGGCGTGTGTATCTAGGGTGTGCCTCTGGCCCTCAGAAGGCCTGTGGGACGGAGACTGGCCACGGGTGCACCACCAAAGTGAAGCGGATAAAGACTGCATCAAACGTTACTTTGGGTGAGAAGGGTCTGGCTAACTAGCTGGCACTTTGTGCTGCAAAGCTGGGTTGTTTATCACCCACATCTAGTAAGGGGCACAGAATATTGGGGCCCAGGAGAGAGTGGCTGGCAAGATCCACAGCGGAAATCATTCTAGCCCTAATTGTATTCTTCAGTCTTTTTTTTTTTTTGAGCTGTTTCTTATTTTCAGTGCTCATTCAAAAGCCAAACGAAGACATACTCAGAGACCGTACTGTGACTTGACCATTTTTATGCACACGCACAAGCACCAGCAGCTGATTTTCTGCTCACAATGAACCGCAGAGCCAAAAGCTGGACTCTCCTGGAAAGGTTTCCTCAGCTCCTTCCCTGGATTCATCAGCTCCATGCAGAAGACGGCCTGGTTATCCTCATGGGGTTTGGCTCCGCCAGCTGCTCCCTGACAGCAGTGACGTGCAGAAACTGAGGAGGTCTCCACCGAGGTCAGCGTCAACCTACCTTGCAGTTCCTTCAACAGCAGACAAAGGATATGGTTCTGCGTGTCTTGCGAACAGAGACTGGCTCTCTGCTGTTGGAAACAGGATGCTGAAAAGTATTGCTGTGTGCGCCAGGAAGACAGCGCTTCCATTCGTATTGTGCACCCAGCCATGCCAATGTAAAACGCATTCCTCTTCAATGAGACCATGGGTTGGATCCAGCTTTACTGAGAGAGGACCTATTGCAATAAATGAGAAAGCTTTAAGGGTCCAATTAACCCTCTATTATTATTATTATTATTATTATTATTATTATTATTATCTGAGGCTGTTTGTCTCCTGTGAAGATGGACCAGCAGAGGAATGCTCTCACCCCTGTCCCCTCAAAGCAGAACCTCAAGAACCACACGCCGCTTCTTCGGTTAGCAAAATGCACTGCCTGTCAACGGAGTGGCGGGAAGCCAAGCAAGATCTACTCAGTCACCCAAGGCAAGCTTTCTACCCTCAAGCCAGCCAAAAAGGAGGAGGGTGGAACTCCTCTGAGATGTATCCAGCTCAAAACTGCTTACAAACTAAAAAATGGAAGCATCTCGGTGCTAAAAACGTTGCCCTGACATGTCCTGGTTTGTTTTCCCTTCCACGATAAGCCAGTCCATCCTTCACAGGCCTCACTGCAACCTACGAGAGCAGGATCCCAGCCCTGACAAGGGCCCACAAGGTCCTGATTCCCAGCAACTCTTAGGTCCGTCCTTTGAAAGTCTTCATACAGGTGTAGCTCCCAGCAAACTTGTGGATTTCTTCCAGCGCCGCTTGTGGAAAGATGCTGCCGAGGAAAGAAACAGAGATTCGTTGGCATCTTAGAAGAACAACATGGAACTGGAGAGAGAGAACAAGGCTGGATGCTGTTGCTGTGATCTCAATGTGTGGGCAACGGGTTCGGCCAGATGCAAAGGGTAACCTCCTGTGAATCTGAATCTTGAGCAAGGACTGCGTAACTCTGAATGAGCACCTGCCCTGCCTGCAAACGTTCCCCAGAAGCTACTGCTGGAAGCACTGCCATCCTTCCTCGCCAACTGGTTGTCTAAAGCTAGGGGTGTTAACTTCTGGCCCAGCCCTGCTTTAGGCGAGAAGCACATTTTTGGCAGCTTTAACAACAGGCAAGAAATGGTGTAGCTCTTGTCTGGCAATTGGCCAGCGGCTTCCAAGAGCTTGAGCTTGGTTGCATTCCCGCTTTCAGTAGCAAGCTTCTACGTGGCCTGCAGATGGTAGGTGCCCACCTTGCTCAAAGAGGCAAAGGCAGATCGGCAGGCTGGGTTTCTTCCAGCAAAGAAAACACCATCCAGAAACACAAGCATCCTGGAGCTGGAAGGGAACATCAAGTCCCGCCATCTGTTTGATGTGGGAATCCAAAATGAAGTATGCCTGGTGGGAGTCAAGAAAGTCAAGATGGCAGTTGCAACCATGCAATCAAAGCCCCGCCCCTTTTTTGACACACATCTCAAGGTTGTGACTGCCATCTTATTTTTTTGAGAGCCCTGGTGCCTGGCAAGTGCCTCCCTAGGCTCTTCTTGTAGTCATCAAGGAAAGGAAAGAACGAAAGGAAAGGAAAGATAAATGAAGGGAAGGGAAGGGAAGGGAAGGGAAGGGAAGGGAAGGGAAGGGAAGGGAAGGGAAGGGAAGGGGGGAAAGAGAAATAAGTAAGTACATAAATACATACGTACATACGTACATACATACGTACATACGAAAGGGAAAGGCACTATTAAACCCCTCTGACCATTGCAAGTTTTTTCTACAATCTGTTGGGCCCTGTGCTGAATTGAATGCAAAGGTCTTGACCTTCAAGGGCTTGAAAAGGGCTCTCTCTCCAGTTGTACCTTCTCAAGGCTAAACCTAGATCTGGTCATCTTCATCACCCTTCTCTGTACTGACTGCCAAGGTAGGGGCTGACCGGCACAGAGCAGAGGGCAGCTATTCATTCTCCCAACTCACAAGCTCTACTTGCTGGTGCCACCCAGGAGGCATTCACCTTGTCAGCAGCCCCCTTGTCCTGCCGGCTCATATTCCACTTGTTATCAACTGTCAGCCTTCCAAGGTAGAGCAGACAGGAAATATAACCAGATGACCTGATTCTACTTTATTGTAAGGCTACATTAACAGAATCTCGCAAGTCTGAAAGTACAATTCTCCTGCCATCCCTTTTACAGCCCGAGAAACTAGGGAGGGTCCCTTCTGAGCCTTTTCTCCACCCATTATGCAGCTGTGGGCTGTGCTCCCTCTTATCCGACCATTCCCTAGGCAGCATCTCTTCAGCGTCTCCCAAGGCCTTTCCCACGTACCATTACAGCAGCTAAGGAATGGAAAGCTTCCTTCCATGGGGTCTGCATCCCCAGTGGTTTATTCCCCCCCCCCCAAGATGTTAAATGTCTTCTGAGATCGGCTTCTTCCTCAGAAGAGGCAGCGACTGAGTTAGAGCACAAGGGAAGAAGAGCCCTGAGTACCTTTTCAGGACAACAAGGATGTGCATTGTCCACGGGAGGAGGAGGAAAGCTTGGTTCTGCTGAACAGCCTCAACCGTCCTTCGGGCCACCATCTCTGGCTTCAGTGGAGGAAAAAGGTTGGGAAACCTGGAAGAGAAACCGAAGCAACCTCAAAAGAGGGCTCCAAGGCGGACTTCAAGCATCCTGCTAGGCCAGTTTATTTTTGGGGGTTCACCCAACCTGCTAAGCCTGTCTTTGGAAGGTTCCTCCAGGGAGATGTGCCTGGCACCAAGTTTTTATTCTTCTTTTACTTTTTATTCTTGCAGGCATTTGCATCCATTCTTCTCTTCATCTAAACACAACAGCTGCCAAGACACTTTGTAACAACTGTAGCTTCTGTTTTAATTTCTCTGCGTCCTAAATCTTAATTGGACTAAAATACTGTGTATTTTAACAGTCCATTTTCCTAGCCACTCGGAAAAACCTGATTTTGAACAGCTGATAAATAAATAAACGAAATATTCTGTCTTAATGTCCCGAATAAATCCTCCCATACTATTTTCTCCGAGAGCGCCTTCTCCCATTTCCTCCTCTCTAGAAACAGCAAATTCTTTCCCTGAGCTGTCACTACCCGCAGCTTTGTGGGTGCCTCCCGTTCCCCCCACCCCAGCCCCAACCCAGTCCGGAGGACAGAAAATGCCAGGCACCCCCTTTGCAGCTGCTTCTGTATGCAGAGACCACCCTTCTTGTGCCTGGAAATGCCCTCGACTGCTGTTTTTCTTCCAATGCTTTTTCCCCCCCAATTGCTTTCCCTGGCTGGGTGGGTGGGGAGCAGAGTTCTTAGGTGATGGGGCGGCTACCCCAGGTCAACCGGGGATTCCCTCGGCACCCACCTGATCCGCATCCCTTGAAACATCTCCGTGCTGGTGTGGAAGGGCAAGACTGTGGTGGCGTTCACCCCTGGGCAGTCCAGCAGGCCCAGCGTCAAGCTCTCCATGAAGGCAAAGGAGGAGGCCTTGGAGGTACAGTAGTCAACCGCCCCAGGTATGGCCGACAAGGCCAGGACCGAGTTCAGGCAGACAATGTGTCCTTTCTGGAGCTCCAGCATCCGCGGCAGGAAGGCCTTGGTGGTCTGAGGGCCAAGAGGGCAAAGCAGCGCTGGCACAGGGGGTACGTGGTGAGCAAGCAGCAGCTGCCACGCATCACTGCAGGGCGGAGGGCCACCACTGGACCGTGCCGGCCAGCCTCCTCAGCAAGGCTCCTGTGGCGCCTGCGGTCCCTGCCTCCCGTACATTGGGTGCTTTGCGGCCATTTCAGCATGTTTTTCCCCTTAAACGTTTGCTACTTTTGCTAAGTTTTGAATCTCCGATGCTGTTCTGAATATATTTTATGTCTGCATCTATGTTACAGACTACAGACATCGTGCCTGCCTGGTAGGGCGGTTCAAAGGAATTTTTTTAATCCCTGGGCAAGTTGACTAAACAATGGCTCAGCCTTGGCTCTGTTGAAAGGGCCTGCTGCGTTGGGCTGCAGAAAAGGAGGGGAAGGGAGCAACTTGCAAAGCACTGCAGAAGCTCATTCAGTGATGCAGAGACTTTGGCAAGCTACGGAGAAGAAGCAAAAACAACTTCTGCAAAGCTCAGGGATGTGTGAGATAACACTGTTTTTAAAAACACAGGTGCCATCTGAGAGCCTGACAAAATCCACAAAGTGCTAGAGAATTCACCCCAATGACTCCCTGAAGGATGCTGGGACGAAACTGACCAGCCAGCCTCAGCTCTGCCTTATTTTTCCTGGTTGCTTCCTCAGCGCGGCGATCTGGGCACGTCCTGCCCGCCTGCCCCCTCCCACTGGGGCCCGTCTCGGCAGTCGGCCTGTTCCTGAAAAGTTCCCTACCCAGAACTGTCCCAGCGCGTTGATGTGTTGCGACTTCAGCAGGGCATGGTCATCGCTGTCCACGAGACTCTTGCCGTGAACAACTGCTGCGTTGTTCACTAGGATGGTGACATCCCCCACCTGGAAAGGGGGAGAAAAAAGGAAGGAGAGATGCCCAGTCACCTGCTGCATCTGGCTGGACCAAAATCACATCCCAACCCCCAGAAACATCTCTCAGAGGAGACAGGCCGGTGAATGGAATGAGGAGGGTTCTCCCAGGGTCAGGGTGGCCAAGAGGGATCTCCCAGAATCTCCTAAGAGAAGATGATACAAGATAAAGGGGGAATCCAGGTCTTCTGAGGTTCTCCAAGATCGCCTGAAAGCTCGTGAGATGCAAATATTTGGAATCCATAAAATATGGAGATCTCTTGAGATTTCAGCCTGTCTGAATTTAATTCCTGGTATTCACAGTTACCGTCTTAAGGATGTTGCAGGCACTGGGGCTATTTAAACCATGGTTTCTTGATCAAGCCATAATGGCTTGATTTTTAAGCCATTGTGGGGAGACTTGCATATCCCAAATAGCTAGATGTAGTGTGTGAGTAACGGTTTTTTGTATGTCTCACAAAAATCCAGAACAACATGGATCAGAGCATTGGACTCCATCTTGGTTCCTGCATCCTTGTGTGATCTGTCAGAGGACTTGGGCAGGCAGGGTTGAAGCAATAGGAGGGATGATGGATGATTGGATCCATTCTCTGCCCCAACTGCGCTCACTCACTCGCTCGCTCATACTAATTTCTCTCCAAGGCTGCAAGCAAGAGCTGCATTCAAATTGCTCACTCTTGGTCACTTTGCATTAAAATGCCATCTCTGGTTACCAGTTCTCTGCACTTTCTGCCCTTTCTGCCTGGGCAACAGCAGCCAACCCACCTTTTCCCGGACAGCCTTGGCTTGTTGGTAGACTTCTTCCCGATTCCCCACGTCACAGACGAAGTAATGGCACTCGGTTCCCATTGCTCGGATCTCCTGGGTAGCCTCCTTCAAGCATTTCTCAGTCCGACCCCACAGGATAATCTGCAAGACACACGTCCTTGTATTTATGGGGGAACCTTTGTGTTATTCCATCCTAGTTTCTCAGAACCGGTCTTGAGAAGGCGATACAAGATAGAGGGGGGACCCTTGCATCCCCAGAGACCAGCAAGGCCTTTCCCAACCCCAACTCCCAAATAAATCCTTGCCAGAGCCTACAAAGCTTAAGCAAATGAGCCATGCCACTGCACGAAAGATCTTAGAACAAGCTCTTCAAGGGGTGGATGGGGGGAAATTGGGTAACTAGTGCAGCAACATGGATGGGACAAACCAGCATCACGGCCCACACCAAACCCATGCCAATCCAGCAGCTCAACTAGGTGCTACATAATGGGCCACTGAGAAGTCAATGGCTCTCTAGCAGCCCTTTGCTCCATACTGAAAGCTTCCTCCCCTCCCAGAAGAAGCTTCTGCTTTTCTGCCTTACTCTCAGACAGCTTGGCACCACTGCTGGAAGAATTTGGACAGTCTTTGGTCAGGATTGGAAGCAGTGCAAGCAGCTGCTGGCTCTCAGATCAGATCAGATCATACCCAGGCATTCATCCAGATTACCTTCTCCTCCTTCCCTCTTTTCATAAGCCAGGATACTTGCAAGAGACACATTCTCCTTTTCAAACAACTACTGACCAGAAAATTGTCAAGGACCCCAGACCAGCAAGGAACAATACTCCCATTGCAGAAAGTCAGTGTGTGGAGGCTCCCTCGCTCGATGACTAGTTTGGAGGACCCCGGGTATATTTGGGGGGGGGGGGGGGGTTACTGGCAGTGACAAGATGCCACAGCCACCAAATTTTACACAGCTAAAGGCACCCAACCCAGGAGGATGGCTACGCTTTCCAACTGCCCTCCACAGTGGTCTCTTCCTTCAGGACTGGGTTTCTGGGTGCACACAATGTCGAAGCCAGAAGAGACTGACCCAGTTTTGCTGCACAAAACTTTTAGCTGCCTTTTCCTGATTGACTAAAAATAGAGCTGTGGAGAGGAGGATGTCAGCAGATAGTTCCACTCAAAGAAGCTGTCATGTTGTGGCCACCATCTTGACTTCTTAGCATACCTGCAGACACCCCTGGGTCTTCCAGGGGCGGTGGGGAGGCAGCTAATCTCAGCCAGCCATGATTATGTTTCTCCTCTCAAATCTGAACTGCAGGCAACTGAAAGAGGGAGGTGTTCAACCCTCCCCTCCCACTTCCTCTGGGGAGAGAATGCCGCCATGGTAGGACTTTCAACTGCTGTTTACACTTTATCCATTGACCTGCGGTCAACAGATACAAAGGTAGCATTCGGCAGCCCTCAGGAAGGATGAAATATCTCAGATTCTGTAGCTCTAACAGGGGTAGTGATTCTGGCCCTCAATTAATGGTGAAATGGCCCACAGTTACGTGTGCAAACCCTCTTTCCCTGCACCAACTGCTCCCCAGCAGGTCGCAGCCTTCCGGGCTTCCGTTTGGTGCCAAAGCACCTGCCCATTCAAGCCAGGCCCGATGACAATTTCAGAAGAGCTATTTGGTAATCTTGTGTGCAGACAAGAGTGCTAAGACATCTAAAGGTCTTTACTGAAGAGGGAGAAAACCTCTTGATGCAGAGGGGCTGACAATCAGGGCAGATCGCTGAGAATTAGGCAGGGTGGGAAGGCGAGGAGGAGGAGGAGGTGTTGGTCAAGAATGGAAAGGTGGAAGCGTCCTTTCAGCAGTATCAGGAGTTAAAACAGGGCAGAAGAGACCAAAAGCACTGCGCGTACTTTGTGTTGTAAAACTGAAAGCCCTGGAAGCTAATGCTAACTGACAATGCAATCCTAGGTAGGTGGGTTTGGTTTTGTGTTTTGGTGCATGAAGGAACCCCATCTCAAGTGAGGGAGGAACTACAGCCTCTGCCTGGTCATTTCCACATGGAAGGCTTCAGCTTCACTTCCACTGTGCTCAACTGTAAAATCTGGAAGCCTCACTACTTCTCAGCACACAAAGGGGGTCAGTCAATTATTCGGACTGTCTTCCCAAAAGTTTGGAGACACTTTCTCCAACATTCCCATCCATCCCACTGCTGTAGTTTTATTCCTCCCTAAGGCTGGGATAAGCAAACCAATGCCTTTCAGATGTTTTGAAACGCATCCCCCGTGTGTCACAGCAAGCACGGCTAATGTATTCCATGGGTACCAGCTTGGCTAGCCCTGGCCCAAGGGAATCCTTTTTGCAGCCACTTTCCCAGCAAACTCTGGTCTCCACACCAGAGGCAAGGGTCAAAAAAGGCAGTGGGTGCACTGAATTGGAAGCTGACCAAATCAGTCCCTGGCCTAGCCGGACGAGCATCCTCCGGAGTCTGGGAAGAACGGCCACGCCGCAAAGAAGGAAAATTGACGCTGCAGGAGGGAAAAGATCCAGTTCAGAAACATGGCAGCAACCAAACTCTCCGGCCCCTTCTCAATCCGCCCCCCAAGTCAGGGACAGAGTCGCTACCAGGTCATTGGAAGAGCTCCAGATCGTCCAAAAGGCAGGAAATCCCGTTTCCCACCTGCCTGCATTTGTATGAGACTCTCCCTCCTCCAGAGTCCCATCGGCGTCTTCCACGAGGAAGAGTCTGCCGTAGCCAGTATCGTGTCCAACCACATACATAGCAAGGCTTCGTTGCAGCCAAAGGTGTGCAGTGGCCTCGGTGCTCACCAAGCAGGCTTTACAGCTTCACACATTCCGCAGTCCCAGCCGGTTGCGGCTCCTGTGATAAACAAACCATAGCTAAGCACAGGGGTGGTAACCAACTCATAGCTCCTCTGTCCAGTGCCTGAAGTCCTCCTCTGACCAGGCCTGCTGCAAACAGGAGGCTCAACTCCCTGCCCTTCTGATGTGGGAAACGGGGGAAGGCTGGGGTGGGGCCATGAAAAGAGGCAACAAGTCAACCTTCTCCATTGCAGCCCCATCCTCCCCAGATACACGTCTCCACAAGAAGGTTGTGTGTAAGGACGAGTAAAAGAAAACAAGGAACCGGAGAAATCCAGTCGTCCCCTCCTCTTCCATCTCCCACTGGATGGTAAGGGTACTGGCCCACCTTACAGAGCAGTTGCCAAGTGAGTTGGCAGAAGCTGCTGTGCTTTGAAAAGCTAGCACGTTAATAGCCCCAACCAAGGTGTACCTACTCTGAGGCAAGTCCCACCGAAGCAAAGAGTTGCCTGAAGTTGCTGGGAGTCAAGGGGCATATAAATGCAGCAACAACAACAACAATAATAATAAGCACCTTGGGTGCCATCCCAAAACATCTGGAGCACCCCTTGAAGACCCTCAGCATTGACAAAATCATTGTCAGTCCATTGCAAAGGGCAGCTTTACTTGGACCAGCTTCCATCCTGCCACGATACCTTGAAAACCACCAAACAGCAACATCTGCCTGTCCCAGGTCCTTGGGAAGGACTCGATAGGTGGACAACAATGCCAAATCCAGCCTAAACATCTGGCTGACTATGCTTGATGATGATCATCATCATCAATAGCAATGACTTATCCCTAGTCCGTATCTCTACAGGGTTGCATTATTTCATGTTAGCCTAAACACAGCCTTGAAGTCCTGCTTCTCCTCATTGCCCTTTTAAAGCATGGACAACCTTACACAATCCTTGCACACTT